TAAAAATTGTCATTTACTCACTCACATGTTGTTCCAAACCAGTCTGACTGTTTTTTTTTCTCCCATCTTTGAAACACAAATGAAGATATTTTTAAAATTCTCTCATCATTTTTGTCCACTGAAAGGCCACGCAACCAACCTTTTGTTAAACATTCATCAGCACACATACATAGAGCTCATCACATTTGAGCACAGCAAGCACATCTGAGCTTCAGTTTAACATAGTTGATGCACTCTGTGTATGTCTGTTGATCAATAGTTATATGTGAATAAAAGCCTAAATAAAATGTTAATATAAAACAATCATGTCTCTTTCGATTTAAACTGCTTGATTCATATTACTTTTACTATGTCTTTATGAACAGTGTCAAAGTTTTGGTTGCATGAACAATGAATGGATGGAATCTCTCAAGTTTCATTAAAAATATAATAATTTGTGTTTCAAAGATGAATGGTAGGCTTATGAGTTTGGAACGACATGAAGGTGAGTTAGTGATGACAATTTTCATCTTTGCTTGAACTATCCCTTGAAGTCTGGTGCAAAAGTCCACAAATATGCTTAAGGCATTATAATAAACAATGTGGATGGACATACCCAGTCTTCTAATCCATTTAAAATGTTTTTTGTCTTGCAGCTCAGTCCTAAAATCTGAAACAGCATTTTGAAACTCTTGAAAATGGTTTCAGGTAGTGTAAATGAAACCTGAATTCCTCATTTGACAAGCTCTGTGGGTCTTACCATTTCACTGGCCAGGGATATATTTGGAATTACGAGACAGATTCCTGATTCCCCCTCTGAGGTTCTGTTAAAGGGAATTACTGTAAAAAAGACTGCTTTGAAAGAAAGCTTCTATTCAAGAGAAGATGATGAGAGAAGAAAAGGGGGGGAAAAAAACACCTATTCGGTTCTTTCCAACTGGAAGCATCCGATCCGTGTGCCTGGATCAGCGTCCGAAATAAGCCAGATCGTGAAGAGTTGCAGAGGGTGGAGGCGTGCATGCAATCCCCGTGAGTGTGCGGGATCTGTTCCAGGAGAAGTGAATGGAACTAAATGGCCAACATCAAATGAGTGAGACGAGGCTTGAGAAGGTTTGGGAAGAATTGTGATGGGGTACGAGCCAATGCGCTGAGCCCCAAGGTCTGAGAGTCTTTTTCCCCCAGCTGATCCCCACCAGAGCTGGGCTCTTCGGTGCTGACCGAAAGGCTCTGACTGCAAGACCCGCTCAGCTGACACAGCTCAGTATGGAGTAACACAGAGTGAAAGTGCTGAGGAGGAGCTGTTGATGCACACTTCACACGTTCACACAATGCTCAAACACAGAGAGTACACAAGAGTGCAGAGAGCAGCTCAAAACGTTCAGTGTTATGTATTTGGACATTATAAAAGGTTAAAAACAACAGGAGCTAACTGCAGATTGTTTTTTTGGGGGGCCTTTTATGCCTCATTTAATGGATATTAGAGAGAGGACAGGATGTGAGAGAAGACATTTTCCCCATCACGTTAATATTGGTCCAAAAAAAAAGCTACTTTCCCTGCAACTTCAATGAACAGGTAATGGGAATTTCAAGCTTCAAAAAGGATATAAAAGCAGAATAAAAACATCGTAAAAGTGGTTGACAAAACTTGTGTGCTATATTCCAAGTCTTCTGAAGGAACAGACTAAATTTAAGTCACTATTCACTGAAACATCCACCCTAAATCTCCTTGGTGCGTTCATGAATGAGAGAAGTAGTCATGTGATTCATGAGCGATCCATTGAGTTGGGTCTTTTCAAGGAATCATTTGATCTGGTTCACAAAACTGCTCTAAATGATTAGTGCAGCAATTGGTTCACTACATTAGTGCTTGAGTTCAACTTACTGACTCAATGATCCGATCACAGCAGCCCAAGTCTTATGGGCTACTTCTGTAATACTTTAATGGTGTTTTTGCATAGTTTTTGCTTTAAAGCTGCAGTCCTTGTTAATTGTAATTGCATGGTAAAAAGCAACCAGTAGATAATTAAATTAAGAAAGTCATACAGGCTTGAAACAACATTAGGATAGTTAAACTATCCCTATAAATTCTTTGTAGTAGTATGTATTTATGAAGGTATTTTGCTTAGTAGTGACACTTAAAGGGATCAATCATTGAAAACAAAAAAAAACAAAAAAAGAAAGAAAATTGTCATCATTTACTCACCCTCATGTTGCTCCAAACTTGTATGACCATTTCTTCTGTGGAACCTAAAAAGATACTTTGTGTCAGTGTTTGTTTGTCCATAAAATGAAAATCATATGGTAACCAAACCTGTTTGGTAACCAACATTCATTAAAATATCCTCTGTTGTGTTCCACAGAAGAAAGTTAGTTATACAACTTTCTCTTGAAGCTAAATTTTGATCTGATTATGGTGATTTTTATGATGGTGACTTTTTATGCTTTTTCCATAAGTCTTGTATAACCTTGTACTAAAAAGTTCAACTCCGCACTACAAAAGTCAATGCATTTATCATACAGATGGCCACATCTGTGAAACACGCTGGAATAGAAATGACCTAAATGAGTAATTCAATCACACAGAGAATGAGAGGTCCATTTTCAATTCAATTTGAGTGTCTGAGGGATCCAGCCTCCTCGTTTCTTAATGTCACTTTAACATCTTACATGTTAATGAGCAGACATGAGGCTTAGGCCTACCACAGAGCCATTATCCACTTATTAGAGCCCTGACCCTGATGATCCCTTCTCCATTAAACTGTGGATGTACAGTACAGGCATGTGTGGAGATGAGAGGCGACGTTCAGCTTGAATGAGCTGAGCTCAAGTGTGAATGCAACACTGCCCTTGTCCATTCTGTCAGTCCTGGGGTGGGACACCCTGAAGTCAACGCGCCCCTCTGCACACACATATACCGAGATGGTAGAGAAAGAACCACTGACATGGGTCACCAGACTCTCTCATCCTCCCACTTATCTCCTGACAGAACATATCTTTCACATGGAGAGCACGGCCAGGAGACAGCAGAAGACAATTTCACATGTCTGACAGGTGTTGCTGTGTCAGGCGCTTATGAGTGTTTTGCAAAAAAAAGAAAGAAGAAAACCTGCGTGGTTTCAGTTTCTGAATTCTGAATTGTGAAAACCTAATGTGAACATTTTGAAATAAATTCATAAATAACATTGACTTTAAACCACAACCATGACCCATGACCTGCTACTTAAAATTTCCAATTGGTATTCAGTGGTTTTAGAGGGAGACGTTCTTATTCTAGAGCAATCTAATTAAATGCAATAATAAAATGAAAACAAAATATAATATAATATAATAAAATAAAAATAAAACAAAATAAAATAAAGCAAAACTCTGCATTTTTGCTATAAGTACACTAGCAGGTCTGAAAGCTAATAGACAAAGTTTCAAAAGTCTAATTTTGATTAAAATTTTTAAAATGCTCTACATGTTACATTTCCTTGCACTTTGAGGCGTCTTGTTATGTTTGAAGTGTTTTTCTTGTAATTTCCACCTCAATTAGGGTCTTTAAGGAATTGGCCAGAAGAAAAATCTACTCTGTCTATTACCCCTTCAAGCACTGCCGTTGACAACTCGTAATGTTCCAGACCTGTGCAGTCACACAGCAGTGCCACTGTCCCACATGTGAACCCAAACTTTGCACTAAAACATCATTCTCCTTCTCCTCTGACCCCATTACTTCAATCCCCATCGACTGCCCCAAATAAAACCTTTCTGATTGCTATGCTCTCGCCCTTTCATAATGTTATCTTAAGAAACGTGGAAACGATTGCACCTCATTTTTAGTTTGAGTGTGAGAACTGAAAATGACTACCTCATTGGGTCAGTTGTGTGTGGACAGCCTCACAGTGAATGCTGATGGTGTTGCTGGGTGTTCTGAGGAGGTTATGAACTGCAGAGGCAGGACTGATCCAATCTTTCAGTGATTTAATACATTTACACTATAACTAAAAAGTTGCAAGGATTTATACTTAAGAATATTCAAGGTTCAATACAAATTAAGCTCAATCAAAAGCATTTATGACAATGCTGACTTCCACATTAAATGATTTGAACTCTTCCCTCATTAAAACTGGCTATTTAAAGGTCTGCCCACTGTAGTAGTTGCCATGCCGCAAAGGCATAACATATAAATTAAATAAATATAAACAACTATATACACACACACAACTAAAAGGCACTGTCTACTGAGTCTGACACGACAGTCCTCCTGACACAAAATGCAACACCAGCCTTAAAGCAGAGAGAGAGAGCTGAAGTTGAAAGCACCTCTGGCAGATAAGGGTATAAATGTAAGGTGATGGGGCAGTGATTGGTCAAGATTAGAGCAAAAGCCAATGTAAGAAGGACAGATAGAGACAGTCACGGGGTCTCACACTTTCGTCAGCCCTGGCATGAAGAATAACAGGAGCGCCAGGTTCTATTCCATGTCCTTAACGGGGATAACAGCGTCCACTTGTTCAACAGGGCCCACTTCTCATTACACCAGCCTCACTGAGCCTCCACTGCGCCAGTGAAATCTGTCTCCAAAGTCCAGCACGAATGACAAACCAAATTGAAAAACTCTGCCATGACTAGCGGGGAGTAGGGGGTGACGGAGGAGGAGGGTGAGGAACGAAGTGAGGGAAGAGGAAGGGAGGGAAAAAAATCTGGTCATCAATTGCTGGCAACAGATCGCAGACGAAGATTATTGGAAGGCAACATTGCAGCAGATGTCTGATGACTGTATATTAACCTGCTTCCTACACACACACAGAACATCCAAGCCCAGATCATCCTAATGTCAGACTGTGAGGCCTTGTCCTGCGCAATAGGAGGAACTCATAATTCATGAGGGAAAAAATATGAAGCTACGATTTGTGCAGCAGCACTGCTGATTTGTTGGACTAACTGCGCTGGCAGCGATGGAGTCATTCCAAGCCACAACACACAAAAAACAGTGGGCTGCCAGCAAATGTCCCTCTGTTCAGTGTTGTAATTGGGCTCACACTGGACTAGGAGAGGTACTGTAATGTCAGCCATCTTGAGAGGCTACCGAAGTGTGTACATGAATGTTGATGCTTTTGAGCAGTAGAAATAAAAAGAAATACAAATGATAAAAAAATCAAAATAAATAAATAAATAAAATAAGAAAAGAAAAAAGAAAGTGTTTATTTATTTAAAAAGTAAATATAAAAAAATAAAAACAATTAATAATTTACTTTATTTAATAAAGATATTTATAAGATTCACTCAAGTTTATCATCTTCATCAGAACAAAAAGGGCTTCATTTGTAAATTATGATGTCCTGGAACAAGGTCTAGTGACTAAGGTTTGGGACAGGGACACAAGCACAGTATAGAAAAATAGTTAATGATGGTGCTATGTATCAAGTATTGTTGCACTACAGCATAATATGTGTATAATGTGCATAATTCAGAGAATAAATTACTTTTTGAGGCACATGTGGTGGAGATCCACTAAAATACTTGCCGGATCCAAATCCCCCTTGTTTTCTGACACAAATTAAGCCTTGAGCAAAACATTTGCCATATGGGAGCATCCATAGTCCAAACCTATCCCAGAGTTCCTTTGCAAAGATCCCCAAGGACATCACTGAAATTAATAAAACAGATTGTAGACCTCCAAATCTCCTTTAAACAGTTCTGGCATGACCGATGAGGTTTTGGAGGATTCTACACAGATGAAATGCAGGTTAATGAAATACAGGGGAACCCCGCCATGTATTTCCCCATTCTAGTCATCTCTTGACAGAAATTCAAGCACCAATAGTGATATTGAGACTGATGTTCAACTGCATATCACAGTTTTTGTTTATTTTTATGAAATTTACTGTAAGTGTTCACTATGGATGAACAACACTTTTCCATGACCACCAAATCACTGGGCTACAATTTACAGTAGGATTCCTTCATCTCGCCTGCAAACATCCTCCATCCGTTCACCATCCACACCCACACTCTAAGGGCCTGGACCGAAGCAATTTGGAAATACAAATCATCCCTTCCCAATCATCAGAGCATTACAGTATTTGATCCATTGGACATTTTTCGTCTTTGCTAGTAGACAGTAAACATGACCTGGGATGATACAGCTGGCAGTGAGTGAAGAGGGGTTGTAGGAAGCAGATGAGAAGAGATGGAAGTCCTAAGCTGCTCCACATCTGCTGCTGTATTAAAGGCATATGGGACGCCCCAATCAGGCCTGATGGGGGTGATGTCATGGCCCTTGCCACAACCTCTGGTTTTCCAGTACTGCGTCATGACAGACAAGCCAGCAAGATGTCAACAGTCTGGTCCAGAGCGAGGGATGAAGATGGCACACTATGAAATTATAAAGTCGGACTGTGTGAGTGACAAAATGTTTGTGCACATCCAGGAGCTTATGCAGGCTTGTCATAAAGAATAATTTTCATATTTGATATACAATTCAACTGATAACTACGGTGGCTAAGAGAGCTCAGCACGCTGCAAATGAAAAAACATGCAAATAGAAAAAAAATACCTGCAAATTAAGAAAACATCATCAAATTCTCACGAAGCAACCAAATACAGAAACGTTCAGCAAAGACAGAAACACGCTACAAATTCTCACAACACAAACAAAGAAACGCGCTTCCCTAAAACATTTCTGATGTGGTCTGTGCATATTTGCAGCACGTTTCTGTTTGTTTGGTTTGTGTTTGCAGCACGTTTCTGTATTTGGTTGTGTTGTGAGAATTTGCAGCGCATTTCTGTATTTGGTTGTGTTGTGAGAATTTGCTGTGCATTTCTGTATTTGCAGTGCGTTTCTGTATTTGGTTGTGTTGTGAGAATTTGCAGCACATTTCTGTATTTGGTTGCGTTGTGAGAATTTGCAGCACATTTCTGTATTTGGTTGCGTTGTGAGAATTTGCAGCACATTTCTGTATTTGGTTGTGTTGTGAGAATTTGCAGTGCGTTTCTGTATTTGGTTGTGTTGTGAGAATTTGCAGTGTGTGAAGATGTTTTCTTAATTTGCAGCCGTTTTTTTCTATTTGCATGTGTATTTTTTTTCTTTTTTTTTCATTTGCAGTGCGTTGAGCTCTCTCGGCCACCGTAGATAACCAATATGTTAATTTAATTTTAACATCTGCCATGTATTCTTAAAAAAAATAAATACTAAAAAACTAAAATCGATTAAGAGATGTTTAGAAGTGAAAATAGATATTTATTCTGAGATTTGCTAAAGATTATATTTAACAGTGTTATTACATTAATAGTGTTTTTAAAGATGTCAGGGAAAATAAGCATGAACTACTAAATAGCCAATATTGACAAATGACAGCATATTATTATGATTGTTATTATTATTATTATTATTATTATATCGGCTTATAGTCTATGGTACTACTCATACCTAAAGCCCTGACTTACTTTATTTAACAAATTATATAAACTATTATATTGATAAAATGCTAACAAATATCCACAGATGTCCCTTCAAAAGCCATCGGATGAACTGAAAATCTATAACTACATGAGCTTGTGCTGTATGGGCACTGCCTATGGCTTGGTCTTGCCACGCTCAGTTAAACCTTATTACATTCAAATAATGGCCACACAAAACAGGCCATTATATCATACAGGTGCCAGCAATCAACCACCAATGGAAGTCAATCACTAAGAAGAACAGCGAGGTTCTATTCATAACCTTAAATGCCAATGCAGGGCCAATAGGGGTGACCCTGTTGAGCATGTCATGGGGGTGTAATGAGGTCAGTTTACAGGTTGGGTGGCAGGTAATCCTCCGTTCATTACAGGCCCACTCGGTGGCTGTTGGGGAAGGGAAAAAATCAAATGGCAGCGAGCTACAGAATAGAAGTAGATTGTATGTGTGTACTGGGCCAGGAACTTAACACTTGTTTCAGTATGAAAAGAAACCCAGAGCCACCCGTGAAGAAGCAGCCCGAATGTGAGGGAGGGCCGTTAGTGGCAGGAGTTTGGTGTCAGAGAACAAGACAAGCTTTGTACCAGCTTTAAGAAGCAAATTAAGAGAGTGTGATGCAAGCTTACTGACTCTGAAAGACTGAGTGAAGAAACACCTGGTGATCAATAGAGCTTAGAGAGCCCCATGAAAGAGCCCGAGGAAGACAGCGGACTCTCATGCCCTGCTTCTTGTGAGGTTGCATTCGTAACTACCACACTTGTTCACATAATCAAACAAGTGGATCTGAAACAAATAAGTGAGAAAGTGAATGGTCATTCAGTTAAAATATGTAATTTATATATTCATACTATTGGAGGGTTCAAGTCATGTCATAAAGAAATGCAAATAAACACCACCACAATGCTGTAATTATGAGTGGGATACTCGGAAATTTCTTTAAGCCCAAAATTTTCAGGTTAAGGGTGAGTAAATTAGAAAATATGTGTGACGCAATAGATACTGTGTCTGCATTTACCGTAAATTTGTTGAAGTGAATGCAATTGTTTTATTTACAATAAAATTAGTTAAGTTGCATCTACAGAATATGACAGCATTGTGCAATTTTTATATTATATATAACGATTCAGTGTACAGCAGCTTCATACATTTAATAAAACAAAAACACACATGCACATCTTTTTCATTATTTTATATAAGTAGAGTTATAAAAAATTGCAATTTTTTTTTTGTAGAAAAAGCTGCATTGCCTTTTCAAAACTTGAACGCACCTGACGTTGTAACTGCAGCTTCCCAACAGTAAACAGGAACTTTTCAGAAGTATAAGCGAAAAATTATGAAGGAGGAATAACAAATACATCCTGCGCCATTTTCAACAAGGGAAAGCATTTGGATTTGAATTTTAGCATCTCCAGGGGAAGGAGGAGCTAGAAACGACTTAGACTTGCAATATGCGAATTGGGTAAAGAGAAGGTGAAGTATGTTGGGAACACTACAAACAGAAGGAATCACATTGAACAGTAATCAACTAAAGTTGAAAAACGCAGAACAAAAACCTCCAGTAAACATTCTGGTGAGTCAATGCACCTATTTTCTAAACTTCCATCCAACTCTGAATGGGCTAAGGAAATAACTCAGTCATTAGAAAATGTCCATAGCCCATTTAATTTCTTACAGCATCATTTATAATGAAGGCTTTCAGCACAGTCAGGCTTAAATGGCATTTGTTTCATAATATGGAGTTGACTAAACTAAGAAAAAAAAACTTTGAAGGTTTTTTTTTTAAGGTCAATATTCGATTCAGTGGGATTTTTTTTTCTTGATACCTATTAAACTGTCTACGGCAGTCAAATCAATTCCCATAGAAAAAGGTAGCAAGGCCCACACCAGCTGGTTTTCTTTTAGATACCTAGTGTCCAGCATGTCTTTTGTGATGAGTTAAGCCCTGTTCACACCAAGGACGATAACTGTAATGATAACTATAACGTTTTAAGAATAGGAAGTCCACACCACAACTATACGTTTTGGGAGTTCATTTTAAGTCCATCTCCTACCCTGAAAGGTCCATCTAGCTCATTGTTAGTAGCAGCTCACACCATGACTCCCTCGGCACCTTGCTGTTGTCTGACTTGAAATGATGCTGGTACCACAAGAGCCACTCTCAACCGATCTGTCCATAAAACATTTCATAAAAATCAGTCTTCATGTATTTCACAACACTTCACTTTGTGATTCTTATTAAGTGGGGGTTATGTTTCAGGATTCATTGCCTTAGCACAGTCTCTGAGAACCTGACTCCAGGTAGTTTGCAGTTCTGGAAAATGGTGGCACTGCAGACTAAAGTGGAGACTGAAGGTTGAATTCTTGGTTTCATATCAGAACTGCTAAAATTAAATATGTAGTGGTGTGTTTGCACTGAAAAGACAGACTCCTATTTAAATTATCATGCTATGATATCAGTGCAATTCTGCAAAAGTGGCAAGCATTCAAGAACCACAAAAAAAAAAACAGGCTAATGAGCAGAATCCAGATCTCTCCCTAGGTCCCCAACCTTGCTTCTCCTCATTATTAGAGGAGTTGAACTGAGAGAGGCGAGCACTATCGACACTGTGACCTT